AAAAAAAAAGAAAAGAAAAGAAAAGCAAAATTAACCGGGTGTGGTAGCATGCATCTGTAGTCCCAGCTACTTGGTTGGCTGAGATAGGAGGATTGCTTGAGTCCAGAAGGTCAAGGCTGCAGTGAGCTGTGATAGTGCCACTGTACTCCAGCCTGGGCAACAGAGCGAGACCCCATCTCTAAATAAAATATAATTTTGTAGTGTGCTTAATTTAAGAAGAATCACCCCTCAGCCGCTGTCTGCCCACTAAAATATTGGATGAATTCCTTCCAGTTAGACAAATTATGTATTTTTATTTACCTAGGACAGTGTTGCTGAATTATGAGCAAATGAATTAATCAGCATTTCTGTAAAAATGAATTCGCATGTCTCTGAGAGACAGGGAAATACACTATTTCTCTAATGATATCCAGAGTTCCTAAAAGATCTTTTGGTCTAATTGGTGAGGGACATATTGTACACATCCCAGGGATGTCAGTCAGACTCCAGTTACTGCTCTCTCAGTGTGATGGCTTCCAGAAGACATGCAACAAAATGACTCAAGGTCATTTTGAGTCAAAATAAAATAAAAACAAAACTGGCAACAGAGGTAACTTTTGGGGAGGGGCAAAAGGAAGAAAGGAGTGAGAGAGAAAATTATTCATCACCATAAACACACTTGTTTGCCTTTTGAGTTTAGAACCATGTGCTTATATCACCTAATCAAAAATGAATAAAATAGTTTATTTTAAAAGGGAAACCTGTTTGTTAAATCTATCCTAATAACTTAAAGCAAATTTCTAAAATTTTACCTACAATTGCACAATTCCATTTTGATTGAACTTTAATTTTATTGTCAAGCTGCCTAATTAAGAAGCATTCAATAGTATTAAGAAATTCATGTTTAAACTAATTTCCAAAAAAGTCTATAATAGGTGTAAACCACCAGAGAAAGTAGGCCAATTAATATAATTGGAAGGAATTAATTGGGTAATTGCATTTCACCAACTTAAATTCCCCCATCACCTTTAATCGGAATAACTTCTCTTTACTTCTAGTCCCTGAACCATTGTGTGGTATTGTTAGTGTTGGGTAATAAGGTTCTGAATCCCACATGAAGGGTGGCTTTATTTCTGTGGAAGAATCCATAAACCCTGTATGGGCTGATAATAAGGGAAACAACCTTCAGATTACAGAAGATGTGATTGAACCCAGTTAACTGAAAAGAGACTCAGTTTACCCAAACACTGATACACCATTATAACTGACTAAGGTGATTTGGAGAAGCCTTGAAGGGATGACGAAGAGGGAAGTAAAATACAGTTAGAGATTTTGTGCACAGCTTGCCAAACAGTTTCCTTAAGGCTGTCAGTTGTGTGTATATTTGATCATTTCTTATTCTCACACCCACTCCTTTTTCCCCTAAATGAAAATTGGTCCAAAGGATATTGAATGACTCTTGAATTTCTTAGAAAAAGAAATTTGAGACAACTAATTTGGAACAAAGAAATGTATTTCTCACATAATGAACACCAAGATAAAGGGTAAAAATTCCATTTTCTAACTTGAGTTTTAGCACAGTGAATAGAATTGTGCTTGCTTTTTCTTCTATTGCTTTTGCAAGGAACAATGTGAACATGCAATAGAGACTTTTTTTTATGAGATAGAGGGAATCTATTTAACATATCATTGTTTTAGATACATAACCAAAGAAGATGTTGCCATAGCTTCAGTGGATAAAGTGAAGAATACTGGGGGCCATGTCCGTCTGATCACAAAGGAGTCCAGGCCACAGGATCCTTTCACAAAGTAAGGTTTTTCTACTGCTAGTATATAGTAGTACTAATTCCACTCCTTTACATTTTGATATTCAAAATAATGTCTCACCTTTGCGTGACCACTTTAGACGTTACAAAGAACTTTCACAAGATAGTAGCTCTTCAGTTGTCCTAGCAAGCTGTTAAGGTACCTGGTGTCCTCATTTTAAACATTAAAGATGAGGAAGGACACTGAGACCAGGTGGACTAAGTAACCTGCCCCACGACTTGGGGGTAGATGCCAGGAGACCTGAGGTTAAATCTGGGCTCTGTCCCTCAATCTTGAGCTCCATCATTAGAAGTCTTTCTTTTAACTCTTTCAAACAACCATGGAAAAATAGAGCAGCTGTTGTTACTTCCCAAGTAGGACTTTCTAACAAAATTGAGTAGTGTACCTTTTCTTTTATTCTAACAAATTGAGCACATATCCTATTATGTTTTGTATCCTAGCATGTTTAATTTCATCAACTCTGCGTTTACCTGTAGGAGCAAGTCTTCTGTTCTAATTCCTATCAGCACTGTCAGCTATTTCACTCTGTCACTTTATGGCTGTGACTCTGTTTCCTGTGTGCAAGCAGAGGCTGGAGGAGAGAGTTTGTAATGACTTCTCTGAGCTAATGAGGTGTGTGACCCCATATATTCAAGGAGCAGGGTAGCCACTAAGCTTTAGTTGGGGTTTTACATTAGGCTGTCCTTTCCCAGCCTGAAGAAGCATTTTCTAACAGCTTCTCCAGATGTTTCACATGTTTTCACATTTCACATGTTTCCAGATCATTTAACATGAGAGCATCTAAATTCCCAAGAGAGGCAACATATTTATATTCAAATTAATTTTTGTAACACACCATTCTTCCTTACATGGCATGGAATATAGAGTGCTGACTATAGCTATTTTATTTCTACACTGTGATCCGTGTTTACTATTTATCCGTATAGAAACTTTGATAACCTTTATATGAAGCAATTGCTATTTAGAGTATTCATTCATTAGTTACCTATTCAGTGTTTTTTCAATTGTAGAAAATTTCTTGAAGATGGAGCCTGTGTCCCATTTCTAAATCCATACACAGTGCAGGCAGATCTCACTGTGAGGCCCTCTACATCCAAAGGCTATTTGCAAGCTGTGGATAATGAAGGAAATCCACTTTGCCTTCACTGTCAGCAACCCACTTGCCAGACTAAGCAAGCGTGTAAGGTGAACGCTTGGGATTCACGGTTTTGCTCTCTGAAATGTCAGGAAGAGTTTTGGATTCGATCTAATAACAGCTACCTGCGAGCCAAAGTATTTGAAACTGAACGTGGTGTGTGTCAGCTCTGTAATGTGAATGCACAAGAACTCTTTTTACGTCTGAGAGATGCCCCTAAAAGTCAGAGGAAGAAACTTCTGGATGCTACCTGGACTTCAAAGCTCCCATTAGAACAGGTAAGTTATAATCATGTGATAGATAGAAGGCAGCATTGTACTGAGTAATGAATATTGACTCTCTAACTTTATTTCTTACATTTTAATATGGAAATATTCAAATACATAAAAGGAGAGAAAATAATGGACCCATATGTCCATCAGCCAGCCTTAACAGTTTCCAGCATTTTGGCATTGATTTTTGTCTGCCATTGACTCACTTGTTTGTTTCTCCTAGAATATTTTATTTTATTTTATTTTATTTTATTTTATTTTATTTTATTTTAGAGACAGAGTCTCACTCTGTCGCCCAGGCTGGAGTGCAGTGGCACAATCTCAGCTCACTGCAACCTCTGCCACCTGGGTTCAAGTGATTCTCGTGCCTCAGCCTCCCGAGTAGCTGGGATCACAGGTATGTGCCACCACGCCTGGCTAATTTTTGTATTTTTAGTAGAGATGGGGTTTTGCCATGTTGGCCAGGCTGGTTTTGAACCCCTGACCTCAGGTGATCCACCCGCCTCAGCCTCCCAAACTGCTGGGATTACAGGCATGAGCCGTCACGCCCGGCCATCTCCTAGATTATTTTAAAGAAAATTCCAGATATTTCTTTTCACTCTTGAATATTTTCATTCTGTATCTCTCACAGGTAAAGACCTCCTTCCTTCTATCCTTCCTTTCCTCTCCCTCCCCTCTTCCCCCCTCCCTCTTCCCCTTTCTCTCTCTCTCCCTTCCTTTTCTCCTTTCCTCCTGCACTCTTTCCTAGTCCTCATTTCCTTTCCTCTCTTTCTTTTAAATATAATCCCAGTACGAGTTATCACACCCAACACAATTACAATTCCTTAATTATACTAAGTCTATGCTTGGTTTCCCAGGTTGTCTCAAAAACGCCTTTTGGCAGGCGCAGTGGCTCACACCTGTAATCCTAACACTTTGGGAGGCCAAGGCAGGTGGATCACCTGAGGTCAGGAGTTTGAGACCAGCCTGGCCAATATGGAGAAACCCCATCTCTACTAAAAGTATAAAAATTTAGCCAGGCGTGGTGGTGGGCACCCGTAATCCCAACTACTCGGGGGCTGAGGCAGAAGAATCGCTTGAACCTGAGAGGCAGAAGTTGCAGTGAGCCAGGATCATGCCACTGCACTCCAGCTTGGGCAACAGAGCAAGACTCTGTCTCCAAAAAAAAAAAAAAAAAAAGCATTTTATAGTTACTTTGTTCAGATTAGTATCAAAATGTCACCCACATAGTATATTTGATTATAATGCTTCTTATGCTTCATTTAATCTATAATAGCACCCCATTCCTTTTTTATACTATCAATGGCTGAATATACTGGATCATTTGCCATTCTGGATTTGTCTCCCTGTATCGCAAGGTATTGTTTGACATGTTCTTCTATTCCCCCAATTTTCTGAATAATAATTGTAAGATCTAGAGGCTTAATTTCATTCTCATTCAGTTATTTTGGGAAAAGATCTTAACAGGTGGTGCAGTGTATCAAGAGGCACCTAGGGTCTGGCAATTCCCCTTTCCATATGTTAATATTGAATGACAAGGGGCAGACAGATAACCCAGAAATGTAGTCCATCACAATCAGAAGGCTATGTATGTGTATATATACCCACATACATATATGTGTTCATTGCATTGAAAAATGTAATTTTAATACACCAATTTATGACAAATTATTATTTATAGCACACTATCATCAGTATTCACTTTCATTTCCAAAATTCAGTTGGATTTCTAATCTTGCTATCTGAACAATTCTAAATTTCAAAGCAAGCCAGGCTTTGGCTCATACCTGTAATCCCAGTACTTTGAGAGGCCAAGGTGGGAAGATTGCTTGAGCCAAGAGTTATCAGCCTGAGCAACATAGTGGAACCCCTTTTTTCCAAAAAAAAAAGAAAAGAAAAGAAAAGCAAAATTAACCGGGTGTGGTAGCATGCATCTGTAGTCCCAGCTACTTGGTTGGCTGAGATAGGAGGATTGCTTGAGTCCAGAAGGTCAAGGCTGCAGTGAGCTGTGATAGTGCCACTGTACTCCAGCCTGGGCAACAGAGCGAGACCCCATCTCTAAATAAAATATAATTTTGTAGTGTGCTTAATTTAAGAAGAATCACCCCTCAGCCGCTGTCTGCCCACTAAAATATTGGATGAATTCCTTCCAGTTAGACAAATTATGTATTTTTATTTACCTAGGACAGTGTTGCTGAATTATGAGCAAATGAATTAATCAGCATTTCTGTAAAAATGAATTCGCATGTCTCTGAGAGACAGGGAAATACACTATTTCTCTAATGATATCCAGAGTTCCTGAAAGATCTTGTGGTCTAATTGGTGAGGGACATATTGTACACATCCCAGGGATGTCAGTCAGACTCCAGTTACTGCTCTCTCAGTGTGATGGCTTCCAGAAGACATGCAACAAAATGACTCAAGGTCATTGAAAGCAACCTGTCCAGGAATGCAGAAGTAATATAATAGACATCCAAAACAAAAGTGCTCTGAGAATAAGGAACACAATAGACTCGAATTAGGTAGGACTAGTTAAAGAGAGTGATTTTATACACATATATATATATATATATATATATTTTTTTTTTTTTTTTTTTTTTTTTTTTTTTTTTTTTTTTTTTTTTTGAGATTGGGTCTGGGGTCTCACTGTGTTGCTCGGGATGATGTTGAACTCCTGGACCAAGCGATCCTTCTGCCTCAGCCTCCCAAACATCTGGGATTACAGGCATACACTACCACATCAAGTGATTCTTTCAAGAGGCGGGCAAATTTCGGATATCCAAGAGTGGCCCCAAGTGATTTGCCTTACAGTTGCTTGGAAAAACTAAAGAAGCATCTTCTGAATTATTGAGTCTGTCAGAGTGGGGGCTGCTCAGAGAGAAGGAATTGGTTTAAAAAGGCAAAGCCAAAATGGATTTTTTTTCCTAAGACTATGCCATTTGCTTGATGCACAAGACCGCCATTTGTAGTAGCTTCTTACAATGCCAACCTCGAAAACAAAAATCAATACATTCTTCTAACAGTAGTTGGGAAGTTCAGCACAGAAGAGAAGATAAGGCAGGCAGTAACAAAGGTCAGCTGGACAAAGTTTACTGCTCCAACTTGCTGCCTCTTGTGACTCCTCATGGGCCAGCACTATTGATCAGGTCATTGTGCCTGACACGCTTTCTTAAACAGGCTTTATACATAATCATGGGTTCCCAAGGCCAGCAGCCGTTAAGTTGAAGGAAATAAAAGCAAGTGCCACACTCATCTCTGTGATATTTAGACAACTGCATTTCCATGGTGTGAGTTGGTTTTACTACCTCAGGTAAAATGATAAAATACATCCCATTTTAATGTAGGTTATCACTGATTAAATATAAAATGTGTATATATGGACTGGCCTAAATAAAGGCTACTTTAAATGGTCATCTTTAATTATTCCAAATATGCAAGTTACAGATATTTGTTCTAGAAATTTCATTCCAGTTCGCGTAACTTGGAAAGTTCTCTGGTGAATAGTATAAAAGTTCTAGGTAATAGCTATTGACATTAAACTGCCATTGTGTAGTGACAAAAGCATTTAGGTCAACAATTAAAGATTGTTTGACTCAGTAGTATTGAGAAGTTTTAAATTTCTAACCTATTGTTATGCTTTTCTTAGATTTGGTTTAGTGAATATATAAACTAACTTACAGGTGCAGAAAAACCAGTTTTTCCCAATCTGTCAGGAGTCTTGGTATTTTATATTTTCTTGTAATTCTTTCAAAATGAGGTAAGGGAGAAAAAAACACATCTTACTGCTTTCAAACTTCAAACAGAGGGTTTCTTCTACTCACAATAAAAGCTATTCAAAGCTCTCCTGATGTATTTTTCCCCATGATTTTCCTGTATAAACATGATTGCACAATGCAAAACCAACAAACACTTCTTGCAGTATATGTTGAAAATTGCTGACTTGTATTCTTATTGCAGCTAAATGAAATGATAAGAAACCCAGGGGAAGGACATTTCTGGCAGGTGGATCACATCAAGCCAGTGTATGGGGGAGGAGGACAGTGTTCCCTGGACAACCTGCAGACTCTCTGCACAGTCTGTCACAAAGAGGTCAGTGAAGCTCTCATATAGCTTTGACTGCATCCTGAGAAGTCAGATGGAAAATTGTGCACACAGGTGTGGAAGATTATGTGGATGAATTTATTCCTGGTCTGAGATTCGAGGCGCATTTTACTCCTTTCATCATCTAACACTTGCCTTTCCTCTCAAGGCCCGTGTCACAGATGCAAGAAAAGCTGCTTCCCTTTTCATTCATTCTAGGACCAAGACATTTGCACCACTACCAAGAAAGAAATGAATACAATTTACATATTGTCTTGATGAGACCCAAACTGGAAGTTTGGTGAATTGGGGCAGTGATACATGTTTGTGTATAACTAAGGATATCCTGAAATATCTGAAAACATTGATAAGTTATCTCTAGGACCAACTCAGTTCAACATACAAAGGTTTCATTGCTGGCCAAAGTATGAAACCAATTAACTATGCCCCATCTTTTGGTAGTTACTTACCTGTTGCTTAGAATGAGAGGGGAAAAAACACATACTATTGTTTATCTACCAGGATAAATTTTTTACAGGCAGTCCAGTAAAAGGTAATGGGACTTACCTGTTGAGATCATCTTAGAAATATTCAATATGCAACTTCGTATTCAACTTTTTTTCAGTTACAGCAAGATCTAAGCATTTCTCATGTTCTCTAACCATTCATAACTTACATCATCTAAAATGACTGCATAATACAATATTCTATTGAGCAGATCTCTACTGTACTTTACTTAACCATTCCCATACTGATTAATACTTATTTAAATTTTTCTGCTTTTATACATCATGCCACCAAGCACACTTTTTGTAAACAAAACTGTTTTCTGCATTTTGAGGTCATTCCTTAAGGTAGATTATCGTGTGTAAAAATCACTGAGTCAAAAGTATTTGGATATTTTTGACAATGTAGGAATTTATCACCAAACTGTTTTCCAAAGAACTTTATTCATTTATGACCCCAGAAGCCCACTTAACTGCCACTGGGTACGGTCAGTGGGTGCCATTGTGGTGCAAGGGGAGAAAGGCCTGAAATTGTTGTTTGCTAAAGACACTGATGTTTTAAAAAGATGCTAATCAGTTATATTTAAATTTTTGAGAACTATTTCAGATCCTTTGCCAATGTTTATAATATATGAACTCTTTACTACTCTTTTTTTTAAGACGGAGTATCGCTCTGTCACCCATGCTGGAGAGCAGTGGCGTGATCTCAGCACGATCTCGGCTCATTGCAACCTCCGCCTCCCGCCTCCCGGGTTCAAGCTGATTCTCCTACCTCAGCCTCCTGAGTAGCTGGGATTACAGGCACCCGCCACCACACCCAGCTGATTTTTATGTTTTGAGTAGAGACAGGGTTTCACCATGTTGTCCAAGCTGGTCTTGAATTTCTGACCTCAGATGATCCACCCACCTCAGCCTCCCAAAGTGTTGGGATTACAGGTGTGAGCCACCGTAAGCTTCTCTTCTGTCCTTACTCTTTCCACGTGGATCACCTCACATGGACTTCAGTTGGAAAAAAAAAAAGTCATCTGATTTCTCAGCTGTGCAAGTTAGTAGCAAATTCAAGACCTATATGAGAATTAAGAAGTAGCCAAAGAAAATGCAGCCCTTTCTGTAATTATTGTTTTAGATTCTCATGAAAAATGTTACTTGTGGGATTAGTGGAAGAATCCAGTTCTGGTCTACGTCATTTTATTTTCTATACCAGCTCATCTGTTGAGTTGGAAATGGCCTCTGGGATCAGAGAATAGGAAGTGGGTAGATTTTCTTCATTGGGTAATCCCAAGTTGCCTTAAGAACTCCCACTTGGGGAGGTCGAGGCAGGTGGATCACCTGAGGTCAGGAGTTCGAGACCAGCCTGGCCAACGTGGCAAAAACCCCGTCTCTACTAAAAATACAAAAATTAGCTGGGTGTGGTGGCAGGTGCCTATAATCCCAGCTACTCTGGAGGCTGAGGCTGGAGAATCGCTTGAACCTGGGAGACAGAGGTTGCAGTGAGCTGAGATCACACCACTTCACTCCAGCCTGGGCGAAAGAGCAAAACTCCATCTCAAAAAAAAAAGAAAAGAAAAACACTCCCGCTTAGATGGGAGAATCAGGGCCTCCCTATTCTCCAAATGAGGAATTCATGCTCTCACTGGGTAGCAAGACATCCCCTAAGTTGTATGTTTTCTCCTGCTACGTTGGTCCTAAGAACCTAGGACCTCAGGGACTTGCCAGAGCTGCCGAGATACTCTGCCTTGTCGTTTGGTAACTCTTTAATAGCCAGCCACTGGGAAATGGGTGTAGTGACAGTGTAGATTTTCCAGACTAACAATACAAAGAGTTTTTGAGCTTCTGTAGCCAGTGCTTTTTTCCTAACATGTACACATGCATATTTTTTAACTTTTAGAGAACTGCCAGACAAGCTAAGGAAAGAAGCCAGGTGAGAAGACAATCTCTAGCATCAAAGCATGGATCAGACATCACACGATTTTTGGTGAAGAAGTAAAGTAGAAAAAGATATGAATGAATGACAAATGTTTTACATGTGGAAGACTTTAATACAAAAGTTTTCCATGTTAGTTTAATATATTAAGGGTAAAAATTTTCTGAACAAAAATCAAGAACTCAAATTCTCTTGTACTAATTATTTTAGTGTTAATTACATTTTGAAAGTACTTAACAGAAACTAAGATACAATACTAAATATTTCTGTGGCCTTTTTGATTTGATGCAGACTCGCAATTATGTTTCAGCAATGTTTTGTTAAGCTCTTTACCCCTAATATGCCTAATCACTGTATTGTGCATAGATGGTGTTTAAAAAATGTACTCTCAATTACCTAAAAATGCTTCTGGATTAGTATTGTTCTGGACTGTCATGGGTATGAATGGAACATTGCAAAACCTCATGGGAAATTTCAGACACAAATCATTATTTGGGAATTCTGGGCCAAGCATTACCAGCTTGCTTAGGATTCAAGAGAGATTGTACACTGAATACCTCCAGAATGAGCTTGGGGTACACATTTTGGGTGTTGCTTTTCTTGCTTTTTTAGCCAGTCATTTTTATCAAAAATATCCTTTTCAAAATGAAATACCTATGGTGTTTGCGGACAATTTGGGGGTTCTGTGTAAAGTAATTGTTAAAACTATTAAATAACTGAAAACATAAAATGTAAAATGCCACTTAAGCTTGAATATCTTTTTAAAAAAATAAATCAAACTGTGCTTACTGTTGGCTGGGCGCCGTGGCTCACACGTGTAATCCCAGCACTTTGGGAGGCCAGAGCGGGCAGATCATGAGGTCAGGAGATAGATTGAGACCATCCTAGCTAATAAGGTGAAAACCCATCTCTACTAAAAATACGAAAAAGTAGCCAGGCATGGTGTCACACGCCTGTAATTTCAGCTACTTAGGAGGCTGAGGCAGGAGAATGGCTTGAACCCGGGAGGCGGAGCTTGCAGTGAGCCGAGATCACGCCACTGCACTCCAGCCTAGGCGACAGAGCGAGACTCCGTCTCCAAAAAAACAAACAAACAAACTAGGCGTGCTGTCAAAATACTCTTTGTCTTCTGGTTCTCATTTTCTGTTTTTAAAACCCTCTGTTATTAAAGGTATGTTTCTGGTACTTCTTTTAAAAAGAGTGATGATGATAAAACACTTTATAATAAGGCATAATCAGATGGTTATATGCATTTAAAGATACAGTGATAACATTAAAATGTAATTGACATAAAATAAGAGTGATAATGAAACAAACCCAGGGCCTAATCCTGCAATATGTCAGAATCATGAGAGCAAAGAGTCAGAACTATACAAAATACAGGACCAAGGAAGAATTACATTCCCAAAAGGGTTTGCAGATACTACTAGGACATACACTTCTTTAGTTTGAGCATTTTCCCATGTTAATTAATAGCTAGTGTTTTACAACATAAAGGACTTGTTTTTAGAAAGATTAAACAATCAAAGATTATACAACCACAGTTGTTCCTCAGGGTCTATTTCATTATATGAGATCAAATCATGTTGGTTATTTTATAAATGAAGTTGGGCTTTCTTTGGCCTCCTTTCTGCTTAGTTGGTCAGGCTCTCTTTGCAGTTTTCGGCCTCATTGCTAAGGTAACCTAGGATTTGTCATGGTTGAGAGCCAAGAAGCAGGCACGCTGCCTTTCCTCCAGCATGGGGTGTTTGCAAGCAATGTCTAAGTAGGTCAAATTTGAGGGGAACTCGCTCTTCAGATCACACTAAGGTGATAATTCTAAGGAGAAAGTTCTCACATGTAAGAACTGTGTGATGATTTGAGGTGAAACAATCTATGAAGCTAGGCTCAGTCTATACCAGGTTTCAGAATTCTAATTAAAAATGCCATAAGGAGCAGTGAGCATTTGCTGTACAGGATGCTGACTGGCTCATCCCCATCCCTTCCTGACATGTCTCAGAGCTTTGTGTCCTGCCTTCCCCTAACTTGGTTTGCATTACTTGTGGGGCACATTGAGACGAAGGGTTCTGAGACTGAAAATAAAGATAGAGATTGATCTAATAACCAAGACCAAAAGGGCATCTTGAGGAGACTGTTCTTTCCTCCTCACAATCTGAAACAGAAGCTCCCCACTATGTATGGCAAATGGGATGTTATGACAGAGGGACACAGAAAGTATCAGAGCAAGCAGCAGATCCTGAGTGCAGAAAGAAGTGCAGATGCCCCCCAGGAAGAAGATAGCTGCTGCCACTCTGGAGATGGAGTGAAAAACACAGGTGGGTAGAATGAGTGTAAAAGAATAGGCCCGGCTCTGAAAAGACTCAGAAGGTGCAAGATACAGTTGAGGCTAAGAAAACAACAACAAAAAAAGGCTCTGGCCAGGTGTGATGGCACTTGCCTGTAGTCCTAGCTACTCAGGAGGCTGAGGTAGGAGGGTCACTTAAGCCCAGGGGTTCATGACCAGCCTGGCCCCATCTCAAAAAAGAAAAAAGGCTCTGGATCCAGGGAACAGAGCTGGGAAGTGGTAGCTGAGGAAGGAACCCGCTTACGATAGAAAACCACATGAAAATATGCCTGTGGGTAGGGGTAGGGTGGGGAGGACTTCCGGAGTATGGTGGGCTCACACACTCAAACCGCACAGTCAGCATCAGGCTGGCCTGCCTTCCTGTTCCCGTCACTGGGTGACATTGATCCCAGACACATTCTGATGACTAGTAAAGTTGCTTTTGGTAGCCCCAGAGCCAGGAAGAAGAATTCATATGGAATTGTTAAAGACGCCCACTCTTAGCGTTAAGTACAGCCCAACATACATTTCTTGAGGAGATTTTCCTGGGACAAGTGAATACCCTCTACATTTTCTTAACTGGACGGAAAAAGGATTTTCTGCCCATACATCTTGCTAATAAATCAAATCTCTTCTTCTGATTCTTGAGTGAAACATTTAAAATACAGTTTCTTTAGAAATAAAAAAGTATGAGGCATTTTAAATCACGTGACAAAAAAGTCAATGCTCTTGCGCTCTTTACAGTAAATAGATTGTGTTTACTCATAGGATACAGAATCATGGCTCTCAAACATCAAAAATAAATTGTAGAAATAGTATCTCATTTTCTGTTGCATATTATTAGCCTGTCTCTCATTCCATCATTTGTTCTTTTGAACTGGAAAATTGTGGGCTCCTAGTCACTGCACTAATCTAACTGAATATCCAACTACCAGAAAAAGTTTTTTCCTATCTCAAGTTTGTCAGTTGCTTTATACGGTTAAGGGTGTTTTTGCCACCCTGGTTGTGTTCATAATTACCACTGAGAAATGTCACTGTTATTAAAATACATTCTGTGTTCCAACTACCTGCCTCTCTGCCTTAGCAGTTTCTTTCCCACCTCCCTCAAATCATTGACTAAGGTCTTTCTGGCAGTAGCTTCTAGCTATTTTCTGGAAACTGGCCTCTGGTACACCTTAAAAATATTGTTAATTATTCCACATTTGCTAAAGTGTTTATATTTCATGGTCCCTCTGCTCTTACACATCTGCCTTCCCTGCAACTAGATGTCATCATTAGATTGGAGAACCGCCAAACACCTAAACTATATGAAGCTAAAGTCTAAGAAAGAGCCCATCCAGGCCGGGCTCATTGGCTCGCACCTGTAATCCCAGAACTCTAGGAGGCCAAAGCGGGTGGATCACAAGGCCAGGAGATCGAGATCATCCTGGCTAACGTGGTGAAACCCTGTCTCTACTAAAAATAAAATTAAAAAAAAAAAAGCCAGGCGTGGTGGCGGGCGCCTGTAGTCCCAGCTACTTGGGAAGCTGAGGCAGGAGAATGGTGTGAACCCGGGAGGCAGAGCTTGCAGTGAGCTGAGATCATGCCACTGCACTCCAGCCTGGGCGACAGAGCGAGACTCCGCCTCAAAAAAACAAAAACAAAAACAAAAGCCATCCTAGCACTTTGGGAGGCCGAGGCGGGTGGATTACCTGAGGTCAAGAGTTCAAGACCAGCCTGGTCAACCTGGTTAAAACCCCGTCTCTACTAAAAATACAGAAAGTTAGCCAAGTGTGGTGGTGGACGCCTGTAATCCCAGCTACTTGGGAGGCTGAGCCAGGAGAATCGCTTGAACTTTGGAGGCAGAGATTGTGGTGAGCCGAGATTGCACCATTGCACTCCAGCCCAGGCAACAAGAGCGAGACTCCATCTCAGGAAAAAAAAAAAAAAAGAAAAAGCCCAACGTCATTTCAACTTAGCCTCCACAATGAGCTAAAGAAAGCACTCTTGTGCTGCCTGAATCTAGCAAGTGCTTGGCATGCATCATTTACACACAGATGCCACAGACACAGTCCAATCTTCTTGGTGTAACCCAGATTGCTATGCTTCAGCTTACAGCCTTTGCAATCCTGCAGAAATGTTTTTACAGAACTATGACTTAATTTATGTCTTGGCTTTCATCAAATGGATATTTTTTAAAGCCATACATGAAATATTGCTGTGTGGTTTTTGTTCTTCTTACTGTTTTGAAAACTGCTCTTAGGAGGTTTAGGAAGGATAATTTCGAATGCCTCTCTCCTCACATCAAACTGGGGACCAGCTGAGAAATGAGACGCAGAAATCAGACAGATGGAATTGACAATGTCAGTTTTTAGGTTAATAAAAGAGAATTTGAAATCATGCATGAATCTGCAGCACCCATCAAGCTCTCTAATACTTAGGGCCTCCATGTTCAACTGGGGCCCTGGGGTAGCCCCCGTGCAGAAAAGTAAGAGTTAATCTATCCTGGAGGACAAGCAAACTTACCCCAAAACCCATGCCTGCAGTCACTTGACTTCATCTTGGGGACAATGAGAGAAGGATCCCCAGGCCAAACTTGAGGGCTTCTATCCTCAGCACATAAAAGCAGTCTGTTCTGTAGACAGGCTGATCAGAGAGAAAGGGAGCAGGCGTTTTCATCCTCCATTGCTTCTCCCAAATTTACCAATGGGATAAGTCACTCTGCTTCCTTCAGGGAGGAGGAAGTGAGGATAGAGAGAGGCCAAAAATTTCTTCTTTTAGCAAAACTTGAGATGTGAGGAAGAGGTATTTCATGTTGCATCACTGTATGCCATCTTGTGCATACAGCATGATGACAAAATCAGTTCCTATTGAAATACCATTGCTCAAATACTACCCTAACCCTGGACCCTGGTCATGTGTCCACTAGTCTTGAACTCCCCTTGGGCCTTAGAAACCATCTGCCACCCTGACATCAATGCCTGCCCTTTCTCCAGCCTGATGTGCATCTCTGTGGCCTATTTGGTTCCTGTGCCTGCTGCAGCTTGTAAGTAAAAATGAATCCTGGGGCCGGGCGCGGTGGCTCAAGCCTGTAATCCCAGCACTTTGGGAGGCCGAGACGGGTGGCTCACGAGGTCAGCAGATCGAGACCATCCTGGCTAACACGGTGAAACCCCGTCTCCTGAAAAATACAAAAAACTAGCTGGGCGGGGTGCCGGGCACCTGTAGTCCCAGCTACTCGGGAGGCTGAGGCAGGAGAATGGCGTAAACCCGGGAGGCGGAGCTTGCAGTGAGCCGAGATCCTGCCACTGCACTCCAGCCTGGGCAACAGAGCGAGACTCTGTCTCAAAAAAAAAAAAAATGAATCCCTTCCTTAGTGTGCCATATGCCAGTGTGGTTTCATATTAGTAGTTAAGTAGAGGTCAGGCAGCTGATTTTGTTCAAATAAATCCTGGCAAGGGTGTTTTTGCTTTTTTTAAAAAAAGGTATTTGTGAATTATGACCACTAATCACAATTAACTATAAAACATGTTGTGTTTCTAGACCGGTACAATCCAACATAAATATAATACAAGCCATATATGTAATTTTTATTGTGGTAAAATTTATCATTTTAATTGTTTTTAAATGTACAGTTCAGTGGTATTAAGTACATTCACATTATTGTGTAACTATCATCACCATGCGTCTCCAGAACTTTTTTATTGTCCCGTACTGAAACTCTGCACTCATGAAACTCTTTCCCCAGTTCTTGGTAACCACCTAATATAGTTTGACTATTTGCCCCCACCCAAATCTCATGTTGAATTGTAATCTGAAGTCTGGAGGTGGGGCCTGGTGGGAGGTGTTTGGGTCACGGGGGCAGATCCCTCATGGCTTGGTGCTGTCTTCATGATAATGAATTCTTACCAGATCTGGTTCTTTAAATGTGTGTGGCAACTTCCCCGCTGCTCTCTCTCTCATTTGCTCCTGCTTTCACCGGGTGACATGCCTGATCCCCCATGACCTTTCGCCATGATTGTAAGCTTCCTGAGGCCTCCCTAGAAGCTGAGCAGATGCCAGCACCATGCTTCCTATAAAGACTGCAGGACCATGAGCCAAATAACCTCTTTTTTTGTTTGTTTTTGTTTTTTGAGATGGAATCTCGCTCTTGCAGTGGTGCAATCTCAGCTCACTGCAGCCTCCGTGTTCTGGGTTCAAGTGATTCTCCTGCCTCAGCCTCCCGAGTAGCTGGGATTACAGGCATCTGCCACCATGCCTGGCTAATTTTTGTACTTTTAGTAGAGATGGGGTTTAGCCATGTTGGCCAGGCTGGTCTCAAACGTCTGACCTCAGGTGACCCGCCCACCTCAGCCTCCCAAAGTGCTGGGATTACAGGTGTGAGCCACCACACCCAGCGCTAAAAATCTTTTCTTTATAAATTACCCAGTCTCAGGTATTTCCTTACAACAATGTAAGAATAGTGTAAAACACCACTATTCTACTTTTTGTCAGTACGTATTTGACTAATAATCTAGGCACCTCATGTAAGTGCAGTCATACAATATTTGTCCTTTTGTGTCTGGCCTATTTCACTTATCATTATGTCCTCAGGGTTTATCCACGTTGAAGCATGTGTCAGAATCTCCTTCCTATTTTAGGCCAAATAATATTTCATTATTATCGACCATGGATATTGGGGTTGTGTCCACCTTTCAGTTGTTGTGAATAATGCTGCTGTGAATATGAGTATGCACATGCCTGTTTGAAACTCCGTTTTCAGTTCTTTGGGGTATGTACCCAAAAGTGGAATTGCTGGAACAAATAAGTCTAGTTTAATATTTTGAGGAAATGCTACATTATTTTCTACAGCTGCAACATTTTACATTCCCACCAGCAATGCACAAGGGTTCCAATTTCTCCACATCCTCACCAACACTTTATGTTTTGCTTCGTTTTATAGTAGCAATCCTAATGGGTTTGAAATAGTATCTCACTGTGGTCTTGATTTGCTTTTCCCTAATGATTAGTGATGTTGAGCATCTTTTCATATTATTATTGGCCATTCGTGTATTAGTGTTGGAGAAATATCTATTCAAGTCCTATACCCATTTTTGAATTGAATTATTTGCTAATTTATTGTTGAGTTTTAGGAGTTATTTATATCTTCTGGACATTAATTACTTACCAGATATGTGATTTGCAAATCTTCTCTCTTATCCTGTGAATTGTCGTTTTACTCAGTTGAATGAACTTTACTCCAAAAGTTTTAAATTTTTTATGAAGCCCAATTTGTCTGTTATTTCTTTTGTTGCCTGTGCTTTTGATGTCAGATCTAGGAAGTCATTGCCAAGTCCAATGCCTTGAAGCCTTTCCCCTGTGTTTTCTTCTAAGGGTTTTATAGTTTTAGTTCCTACATTTAAGTCTTTGATCTATTTCATGTTAATATTTGTATTTAGCATTAGCTAAGGCCCAACTTCCTTCTTTTACATGTAGATGTGCAGTTTCCCCAGCACCATTTGTTGAAAAGACTGTCCTTTCCCCATTAAATGATCTTAGCATGGATCTATTTCTGGGCTCTGTACTTTATTCCATTGGTCTGTATGTCTGCCTTTATGCCAGTACTACACTGTTTTGATTACTGTAACTCTGTAGTAAATTTCGAGATCAGGAAATGTGAGACCTCTGATTTCTTTACAAGATTGTTTTGGCTATTTGGGGTCCCTTGAGATTCCATATAAATTTTAGGATGGACTTTTCTATTTCCACAGAAATATCAGTAAGATTTTGATAGTTGTGTTAGGCCATTCTTGTGTCACTATAAAGAAATACCTGGGCTGGGTGCCATGACTCACACGTGTAATCCCAGCACTTTGGGAGGCAAAGGTGGGCGGATCACCTGAGGTTAGGACTTCAAGACCAGCCCGACAAACTTAGAGAAACCGTGTTTCTACTAAAAATACAAAATTAGCTGAGCATGGTGGTGCATGCTTGTAAATCCCAGCTACTCGGGAGGCTGAGGCAGAAGAATCACTTGAACCCAGGAGGTGGAGGTTCCGGTGAGCGAAGATCACGCCATTGCACTCCAGCCTGGGCAACAAGAGCGAA